GCGGGATTTGGAAACTATACTTCTATTAATGCAGCCTAAAATAGCATTTGCCTTTTTTGTAGCCACAATGCATTGTTGGCTCATATTTAGCTTGTGATCTATGACAATTCCAAGATCCTTCTCGCTCATTGTTTTGCTGAGCCAGGTATCCCCCATCTTGTAACTGTGCAATTAGTTTCTTTTTCCGAGGTGCAGTACTTTGCACTTAGCCCCGTTGAATTTCATTCTGTTGATTTTGGCCGAGTGCTCCATCCTATCAAGGTCATTTTGAATTTTGTTTCTGTCTTATAGGGTATTATCTTTTCCGCCCCATTTGGTATCATCTGTAAATTTGACAAGCATTCCCGGCACTCCCTCATCCAAGTCATTAATAAAAATATTGAAGAGCACCGGGTCCATGACTGAGCCTTGGGGTACCCCACTTGTGACTTCCTCCCAGTTAGAGAAGGACCCATTAATCATCATCCTCTGAAATACCATGGATCAACCAGAGCAATGTGGTGGCATGAGATATCATGTCATAAAATAGAAGGCATCTAAAATTAATGAAACAGATTAGCATACCTGCTCATGTTGCAAAGCCTATCCATGTAGAGAACACAATCAACTATTCTGCTGGTTCTATAAAGCCCTAAACCTCTTGGGTCCATGGTCTCTCAAGGACTGTATCTCCCTTTATGAACATGCCTGGGTGTTAAGATCATCAGGAGAGGCCTTTCTTTCTGGCCCCACCACCCTCACAGGTATCTTTGGTGGGGACACAGGAGAGGGCCTTCTCTGTTGCTGCTCCCAGACATTGGAACTCCCTCCCACAGGAGGCCAGGCTAGGCCCATCTTTGCTTTCTTTCCACCAGGCCAGGCTAGCCCCATCTTTGCTTTCTTTCCACAAGTGTGTGAAGACCTTTATCTGCAGGTAAGGTTTCCCTTAATAACTGGTTCCCTCAGTGGGTTTTAATTGGATGATTGTGCTTTTGTTTAGTGTGGCATTTGTTTGATCCTTTTCAATATTTGTATACTTACTGTTTTTAGCTTTAAATATTGTCTTTTAATGATATAAGTTGCTTTGAATTCTTTTTACAGAGAAAGATTGGGTTAAAAAAAAAACTAAATTAAAACAACACAGTGTTAGCCACAATCTTCAGCCTGATGGAAAATGCAAGCTAGTACTGTCTCTCCAATTAGTGCCATACTTTGAAGTCAACATTCCTTTCAACTTCACTGAATAAATATGTTGCTGCTGTTGTTGTGCCACCAATGCACAGTACCAAGTTAAAGATGGAAAAACTGATGAATACGACTGAGGAACTGAAATAGAATATGCACTCAGTTTTTAATGCTCACTTCATCCTTTCCTTTCCTCCCTTAGAAACTCATGAAAAACTCTTGAGTAGCAAAAAGCAAACCCAAAAATAAAAAACAACAACAAAATAATATTTTTAAATTATCAAGGAGGACTGAAGAACATCAATAAATTTAGGAATTGATACAGAGAAATGAGGATGTTTATCTTCTAATAGGGTAGGGACAAGGTCTTCAGACAGTGGTATTTCCAATAGATCTAACAGAGGTTTAATAAAAACACATAGAAAGGACAAGAACACAGAATACGTGAAAAGGTATCCAGGCTAGTGTTGTCATATGGACAAACTCTCTTGGAATAAGATTGTCATGATAATCTTTCTGGCATTTCCCTCAACAGGACAATATTCATACTTGAATATAAAAGG